TACAAATTATACATTTTTATAATATTTATTAGAAAAAAAATTAATAACTTTGAAATCAAAACCTTATATATTACCAATAATAAATATTAAGAAAATGTTGATTTAAATACTTGACAATAATAGTATTAAAATATTTTTATTCAAATACTAAATTACACTGGTAATGTTAGTTATCACTGCGTAGCACCGTAGGTATTAACAATCACAAACATAATAATTCATTATATTACTCAATAATACAATATCATAATAATAAAATATAATACTGCAATATATTGTGCAATGTAAAAATACATTTATATTTTATCTGTATACCGTAATACAAATATACAATTATACCGTACAGGGTGATTCAACAACCATGCTCACCACTTTTTTTCTTCAATAACGTAGTTGTTCAAAAATTTTAAAATTTTAAAATATGTACTTTATAACTAATATACTTTAAGACCATATTTTAAAATTCTTCAGATTTTTTGTTCTACTTAAGGAGTGTCCTGTGAATATACAGACTTCTGTTTTTCGAATGATAACACCACTATTCGACTATAGAATAAACAGTAGATAATTGTTTTGACATTTTTGACGTATCAAAATAAAATTCGTACTACCAATTTTTGAGTTGTTTCAATTTTTGTTCTAAGGATAAAAGGTCCATAGTAATGAGTTTATAAGATATGGTTGCTATGGTGATTTGAAAATTGTAGTCATTAATATAAATCTATCGATATTAATAATTTGTAAAAATGGCCCAAGTAAAATAAATACTAGATCCTAATTTAAGTATATTTTATATTTATGCAAAGCCAGTTTTAAGGACTATTATCCATAATACAAACATTTTAATAACTAAGTAACTACTCATTCGAATTTTGAATGTGGTACATCATAATTTTCAAAAAAATTGTCCACTAATTAACTTACAGTAAAAGAGTGGGGTTCTCTTTTGAAAAATAGAAGTTTGTATCACCACAGAATCTCTTAAGTAGGACAAAAAAAAATTCAAGAATTTTAAAATATGGTTTTTGGGTATATTTAAAAATGCTAAAAATTAGAATTAGAATTTCATTAATTATTAAATGAAAAATGGGGGTTAGCTTGCTTGGCGAATCGCACTGTATAAATATATAATATTATGTTTGACTGTTGTTTTAAATTAATTCTAAGTAATGCGTGGTTCATGTGTTTATCAGTACTGCATGGAGTCGTGGAATTTTCGAGGAAAGAGGGATAGAAATTAGTACGACCTCAAATATCATTATGAGAACAATGGCAATATGCATGGGCAACTTTTTTAAGACTATTAAGGTACTACAAATTAAATACACTGTCACTGTTCTCATCAATTAATAATCATAATTATAAATTAACTTTCGTTTAATGAGTTTTACGGTTGTAGGCAGACACTGAAATTAAATGTTGACATTTGTTAGACTTTCTAAAGGAAGATTTAATAAATATTTAGGTGCGTAATACTACCTATATATTTTAAACACGTGTCGTTCCTATAAAATTATAATCAATAATAAAAAAAAAGATTACGGTATGAAATAATAATTTATTTTAAAAAAAGTTACCCTAGTTTGTTGGAAAACCAGATTAAATAAAAGTAGTGAAAATCAAACCAATTGAATAGGTAATGAAGTTAACGTTCAAATATGTCGACTAGTGTACTAGGTACTGGGAAAAAATGTGATGAATAGTAATAAAACCTAATAAAATGGAGCTATGTTGTAAATCAAATCTATAAAATAATGATAAACAAGTTAGGAAAGCTCATTCTGTGACCATGCTAAATTCCCGGTTTCTAAAAATATTCCACAACAACGCTAAAAACTATAATTCCATAAATCCACAAACTAAAAATAATGGTAGTGGGTACTTATCATTGTTTTTAATGCTGGTAATTATACATTTACTTTAAATAGCACTAATGTAAAAATTATTTACAAAATTACTCATAAGGTTTCATACATTTAAACAAAAAAAGTGTTTTTCCGGAAAGACAAATACATTTTTTATGACGTTGAAGTACTGGAGTTACACATTAGACATTCACCCATAAATTAACGAATTCTCACAAAGTCATTTTATTATTTTGTTGTTATTTAAAAACTATTAACCGTAAATACGTAGACAATGTTTATTTTATCAATTTTTATTTATAATACAATTTTCAAAATATTTTGAACCGTTTCAATAAATTTCATCGGTTCTGTTATAATTTATAAATATGCATGCGTTCTAAAAACATTTAAAGTATATAATTTTATTTTATACATATTTGACATTTTTTTGATGCAATATTTTTGGCAAAAATTATTTGATGATACTGTTGTATTACTAATGTAGTAATGTCTAACAGTAAAATAAGTTATTTATTTATGTTGATCACAATAATATAAAAAAATATCCTTAGTAATGTTCTACTAGACTGACAAACCTCCTTCGCACAGAATCGTCTTCGTATTTATATAAATTTAACATTTTTGTTATAAATAGCTCAAAAATAGTCAAAATATTTTGACTATATAAGAAATGTATACTGTAAAATATCGTTTCTGTTAAACTGTAATTCCTGTTTTCAATACATTTTTTTATGTTTTTCCAATTATTAATTAATGTACGGGGGATATTTGATTTGAGCATTTTAAAAGTACCAACTGCGTTCACTTCCCTATCAAAGAAGACGATGAAGTTGAAAGTCAAAGCATTTTTTCTTCTATATAGGTATATTGTATGTACAGACCAAAAAAATATCCAGCAGTCAATGTAAAATCAATACATTCTCATTACTGTCCAAGTGAGTATAAGACCACTAATAATTACTGTTAGGATATAATACAATATATTATTATATTATCGATTTTTATACTTAGAATAAAAAAAAAGCGTATTGGTTTCCCTTGCGGTTGATTGATCTAGGATTCAAATGTATGAACCCACAATAATTACCATATTTTTATGAACTCTCAACTATAAAAGGATACAATAACAATTCAAGCAATACGTTTTAAAAGCCAAAATAGAACTTATTTGTTTTTTTTTTAAATTTTTATTACCTATTACAATCATAAAACAATATTAAACAATAACTCAACAATTATAATGTATGGTCAGATTAATGAGTGGTTCACAAGAACTAAAATATAAAAACAAACTATTAATATTAATATAGTAGTATACAAAAAAGTTATATAATTGTAAGTAAGTTGTGAGTTACATGATAAATAGAATGTAGATATAGGTTTTGTATGTAAATTATGTGAAATTCATTGTGTGTTTATTTATAAGAAGTTAGGAGGGAAAAAAGAAAATAGAATTAGTTATTGCATGATATTCTACTGCGTGAAAATATGAACGATTTTAAACTCAATAGTATTACGTTGAGTCCAAGGGCATTCATTAGAGGGAAAACTGGACAAGGTTTGAGATGTCCTTCCTGGAATCAAGTTATTAACTAGGTCACGAGCTAAACAACTATACATAGGCAGTCTAACAAAAAAAAAAAAATTGATATATTGTAGTCGTGTTTATACGTCTAAGGCAAGGAAAGCCAAACCGCAGGATCACTAGTCAGAGGCGTAGCCAAGGGGGCTAAGTAGTCTATGGTCCCTCTGTAGGTCTCCCCCATATAAAATTTCTGGCTATGCCTTTGCCACTAACTAATATATTTTGCAAACCTCAGTTATTATTACCATACGAATAGAAATATTATGTCAATTATTACCCATTTATATTATGAGTTTTTATGAAACTGAGAGCTGGAAGAAGGTATCGATTTTAAAATGATGTGTAAAATAATTGTATGAAAGTAAAGGGTATGATGATGGAAATCGATTGAACAACATTAAATGTAAGAAAGCACATTTATTAAAACCGATCAATCGGTTTACATCGATACAATCAACCACGTGTCCACGTCTGCAGTGTTGCACAAAGATAACTGCAAAATATAATCTAGGTAAAGATAAAAGGTAATTGAACAACATTTATCTAGGTACACATAAAATAAAGATATAATTCAAATAATATGGGCATTGATAATACATTGAAAATGCATCCCATATCAAATCGCAAAAAGCCAAGCCAAATTTTGATGGTGGATGCAGTAAACGAAACAGCAGCAGAACAATAATACTGCGTGTTTAATCGACAAAGCGGGCTCAACGCTGACGTCTGTTAAGACAGATAAACCAAACGCGATATTAAATTATTGCCATTCTAAAAGAGTTGGTAGCACAACCATAACAGAAACATATTATGAAATACATCCAAAAAATATGTTGGTCACTGTTTGTACGGATCTGGCACAGATGAGTAAGTCTCATTTGCGTACAGTCTATTTTTAGTGACAATTTGTCTCACTTGCGTACAACATAATTATCCAGAATAAAATCTAGTCTTATTTGCGTACACACTCATTTCCCTTCACACTTGGTCAGGCTCATGACTGACAGAGCATTTTGCAATACCCCTGAGTGTTTAAAAACGAGGGTTAAATACGTTCAGTGTAGTTGACCCTGAGTTGAAATGCAAAATGTAAAATGTGATAATTAAATAGTTTTATATAATGTAACAATTTATTAGTATTCAATGTAAAATATACATAATCAATCTAATTTGACGGTAATATGGCCAATTTTGTGAGGCATTAGTCCATTTTATTTGAAGAAAAGTAGTTCTCAACGCGTTGATTGCAGCTTTCTCGAAGTCGAAGTGTAAATACTGTGGATTCAATCCAATATTTTTCATTTCGTCAAAAAGACGTTGATACAATAATACTGATGCTTTTTATCGGACAAAAGAACAAAAACGATAAGGAAAGCATTGGGCTCGTAAAAACTAGAGCATTACATCGATGTGAAACGTGTACAATTGTGTGAATTGATTACTACAAGTCTTGAAAGTTTCATACACAAACAATTTGAAATATTCCTTCAACGCACTTTTACTCGATAAAAAACCGAAAATTATAATTCTGCTCGTCTTGTTGACAGTCGCATCCAGAAAAATGAACGAAGTCCCGTCTTTCAAAGCTATACCAGGTCAGCTGATATCTCAAGTTTTTCTACGGTTTTTGGATCACGAACAGACCATCTCGATTGTTTTTGGGTAAGTTAAAACAAAGCTCAGTCAAATGTAGGATTTTCTACGGCAACTCGTAACCACTGTCCATTAAAGGTCTCATAGTGTCGTTGTAATGCACGCACTGATATATCTTCTTCACGCAAACTGTAAAAATGTTATGATATAACAAGTAACAACATAGATTATATCAAATGGTTGTGTATTAAAATGTTATATGCTTGGTATTCAAATAATAAAATTTTAATATTGATATGTTTTATCCCTTTCAAGCTGTAGATAAGGATTTTACGACTTCGGTTTTTGCCACATCGGGAATGCTGCAGGGGTGATCGGTGATTGAGAGACACACTTTTTTAGACCCGGGAGCCAATTCGGTATTACCCATGTGTCTATTATGTCATGGTTTTAACTTAATTAGGATCATATGGTCGATGGCGGACGGAACTAAAACGAAACTGCGGGGCGTAAAATCGACGAAATGGTTGTGAAAATGGAAAAACATAAAACCCGGAAGTTCCGTCCTATGGAAACATCGACTGGCTATTCAGATATCTATTCGAGAAAACGAGAAACCGAGTATGTAAAAACCAACGGCGGCGGAATCGGCTGCCAGTCTGCCACCACCGTAGAACCACAAATACTGGCAGTAAAATTGAAAAAAAGATCGGGTAAACGAAAATGCGCACTCGGTCATTGTCATTACCTTTGGGTAGACTGATAGGTAGCTGTAACACTTTACAGTGTCTAGTCGTCTATGCCCATTGTGCTGTGGATTCAATAAAGACATATGAATCATGTTTTATGTGTATATATTTTTTCTTTTTTTGGTTAAGCATCAACTACACAGGTTATTAGCTTTACAAGTATTTTATGTATATTTTTTTGTGTTTTATTAATAACTTTTACATTGTGACATATTATGTCAATATTGCATACAGTCCAGATCCAAGCAATGGTATATTGGATAATATTGCGATTCAGTAACCATCAGGAAATCGACAACAATGCTTCCTTCGCCCTGTAAAACATTATAACACATAATGTTGCATACTTATTACAACATATGTAACGTACTTAATAGGAATGGTCTTGAATGTGGTAACTCAGAGCCAGTCCTTCTTGCAGGAACCCGAATTTATTTGAACGTTGTAAAATGACCTAACATGGTACACAAACGGCCAATGCTGCAATTATCCTTCAGCCCACCTATACATGCGAGTTTTCGGTGTCACTTTCATTTTTCTTTTTCGACTTCTGTTTGACAGACGTCTTATGTATTAAAAGTAATGTTGTAACGTATGAAACGTACCTATATTTCTGTCGCTATTTTCGGGTAGTACATAATATAATCAATTATCTTATCTAACTTAACAGGTAACGTTTTAAAAATGTAAACACTGCCGAGAAAAGTTAAATCCAACTCTGGTTGTAGGTACACAATACACATTACTTTAGTACAGTTTAAATTGTATAGTGTATATAATATATATAGTCATATAGGTAGAGGCTCTCAATATATAGGTATAGTGTATTGTACCTATGTAATATGTGACTTATTACCATAGAATAAATGAAATCATCTATTCTGTGTATGGTTTATCACTGTTGTGTATGTCTTATGCTCTTTGACATTAAAAAAACAAATATAAATTTTGTTTAAAGAATTATTTTTGTAGTGTTAATATTAATGTAGGTACGTATACAACAAAAACAACGACGTGTAACAATTGTCAATATTATATGACAAGAAGGTATGTACATTGTACATTTTCTTTGGATACTGTATAGTCGTATAAAAAATAAAAATACAAACTAAACTATTTGATATACTAAAGTACAATACAAAATATGAATCATTAATGATTAGACGAATTATAAATGATAATTTTTTTGTTATTTATTATTGAGTTGCTTGGGTTTATAATTGATTAATATGTACAAAACACTATAACAAGCACACAAAAAAAATATATAAACAATCAGCGGATATCACAAGTTCAGTATTGTGATACAAAAATTAATAGTTGCACATGCAACTTGATGATACACAAAATACTACATTGCTGTTCTTTGTATCACAATAACATGTTATCGGATTGAAACATAATTTAATTATAAAACAATCAATTGTTAATGACATTTTATATTATTGCCAAATAAAATATTTCATTTTAAAGTCTTAAAATATAATACAACATTTTAGATTTTGTGCTGGATGATGAATGTATTGGGTTAACAATGATATGTTTTTAAGTTTTTTATATCATTTTGTTTCTTGATATTTTCGTAACAAGATATTTCGGATCAGTAAAATTGCTTCCAATCTTTCAACTAAATGCTAAAATTAAAAACTGTCTGTACTATTCTTCATGACAAGGAAAAAATAAATTTTAAGGAAAATCGGAAATTTTCATTAAAAACCATTTATTGACTAAAAATGGATTTAGTTGTATTTCAAAATGTATTAACTGTAGACACTTGAACTTTTTCTCAAAATATTTATATATAATCATTTTTTATACAAGATATATTTTTCGAATTTTATTGACATCTTTTGTGATATTTGTAGACATTTTAAATTACATTTTACGATTTATCATAACATTTTCGTTCGTATGTAAGGCAGCTTAAACATTTAATATGTATTAAAATAACAACAAATACAATTTGAAAAATCGAAGATAGATTGGGAAATTTATTTGTAAGCATATAAACAAGGTGGATTTATAAATTATAAATGATTTATTTATATTTATTATTAATTTATTTGTTTTTAAATCCACCATGCATCTAATGTTCAAATGTATACGAAGATCGCCAAAACTATGAAAGTAAGTAAATTTTATTTTATAGTTAAAAATGCATAACATATGGAATTTAATTAACTAAAGCTGAAACGGTTTGGTTCTTACTTCTTATCTCATATTTTTGTAAACCAAATTCTCTTCATATAATTAATGTCTTATGATAATGTGGCTGCTCAGTAGTCTATACTAAATAATAGCTAGTAAGAATATTTTCGTTCAATGAAAATACCGTAAGTAAAGAAATTCCAAATGTGTACTTATGATTTATGAATAATTATAAATCGGTTATTGACGTTTAACTTAAATTTTGAGTTATTTAAGTTTATTCCTGTTTTGCTACATCAGGATAACTCATTTGTCTCCACCAGTAATATTACAAATTAAATATTTACATACACAATACATATCAATATCATAAGTTTATATACCTGTAGGCTGTAGAGTTTCCTAAGTCACATACCTTTAACAATAATATCAGGTAATTAATTAAAACATGTTTTCATTGCAAAATCGCATGTTTACAACTTGACACGCATTACTCATTATATTAGATATTTTATGTAAACATTGAACAATATTGATGATAAATTAATATATTAATCATAACCTTGAAATCCATAAATATAATAATAGTAAAAATAAAAATAAAAAATAAATATGTAATAATTTATAATAATTTATCTATTTAAAATAATTTATTCTTTTAAACGTCTTGATGTAATTACATCTTATTTTTAATATTTATACATAATAAATTATACCTATTTACAGAAACAGAATTTCGAACTTTAAACAGATTTACATATCATAATGTTTCGTCAAAATAGATCATTTCATAATACTTCATCGGTATTATAGACTCATTCAGACTATTGCAATAATTATGATGTGCTCTTTTTAATATTTAGTTCGATTTGACAGTTTTGGGTTTTTTGGTGTACGTTTTTTTGTAAAACAACGAGAATAAGTATAGAAAGAGTGTTACATTCGCAAACATGTAATAAATGTAAATTTTCGGATAATCGCAATTAAAACAGACAAGTCCTATATACCAGAGTAAAACAATTACAAATTGAATCTGAAAACACAATTAAAAATGTAATTAGTAACTGCAATAATATGATTTATGCATACGTGTTTTAAATTATTAAATACTTACAATTTGCATTCTAGTCAAATATCTCTTCCACCACAAATAAGGTTGCATTTGTGGCCCTAAGGCCGCTAGGAAGTAATAGAAGTACATGATAGTGTGGATAAATGAATTAATTCCCCCTGGTAATGTTGATTGTTCACCTGAAAATAATAATTGTTAGATTCCTAGAAAATCAAGGAAATTTATTTCCCGGGATTGATTTTGACATGCTTAGATTTAATTGTGATAAATTCAAGTATGTATTTATTCATGGTATTTAATTTCATTACCTGACGTTACTTTATTATAATAATACTATATTGTAGTTGTATCATGGTTATCATAATTTATCATTCACTAATTGTTAATTGTTTAAGAGTATTTTACTTGAGATTATTCAGTTAGTTTCTATATTTTATATCAGCCAGTAGTGGCCTTAAATTAATAATTGACAATTTGCCATTGTTAATACATAGAAAATATTATTAAAATTATTAATGACAATATTAATAAGTAATATTATCTATAATTTATTATTATTTGGAAGGAACTATAAATGTTTTTTTTTTATGTCAAGAGGATATCATTTACTCATAATATCGTGACATAATATTTTTCTAAGAATGTATTGATAAAAAAGATATTGTATTTTAAAGGTACAGTAAATAAAGATACCGCTTATGCAATCGTCAAGTAGTTATTTTTAAATTAATAAAAAACACATTTTTTCAATATGGTTTTAATTCAGTGAGCCTTTTCCAATGAAATTAACCTATGAAGTACATCCGTGGCGCTATCTATAAGTTTTTGATCATGACATTTTAAAATTACAATTTAGATTATCAACAAATCACCATCCGGGCGGAGTCCGGTAACACAAATTGTATAATATTATTAGGTATATAATTAAAAATAACGCATCTGGATACCCTCAAAATTTATGAATACTTAAGTTTTAAAAATCATTGATTTAATTCTCAAATCAATTTTAAATTACTTCTTCAAAATCATATCTGATCATATACTGGTTTTTGCTATATTTTATGCGAGAGACGGGAAAATATATACATAGAAGACTTTTTGATGTAACGTCCTCTGCTAATAGAAATAATGTTTCAATAAGTATATTGCTATAAATATAATTATCATATTTGCTTTCAATTATTGATTTTTTAAAAATGAGTAATTTAAGAGTACTCTAAAAAGAAATTCTAAAAATCAAACTTAACAGTAATTATTGGAAGGACATATCGAAAAAATATTTTTTGTCAGTTTTTTTTTAAGCCTCCGACGGTTAACCATACTTTATCAGCGTTCATGAAGTTGGTCAGAGTTTTTTCTCTAGGACATAAACATTTTTTTTCTGGCTAAATGAGAAATAAGCGTCGATTAATTATTATTCGTTTACTACCTGCCATTCTCGACACTCTGCCTTTAATCGAAAAAGCTTTGTCGTTGCCATAATATTATTATGGAAGGTGCATGGTGTTTATTTTAATCATAGCTCAGAATTATCATAGACGATATCTCGAGTATTAGGTCAATAATAATAAAATATTTAAACAACTGTACGGTACCAACTGTAATAACAATTGCCGTTGAAGCGTTTTGTTCAAAAAAAAAAAAAAAAATAGAAATTAAAATTAAATGCGTAATATTGTGCAGTCTTACCTTTGATGAACCTCAAATATGCCCAACACGTGATAACCATATTTGAATGATGGTATACATGTAAAAATGTAACTTGGGACTGTTTTTTTCTTAAAACAAAGAATATCTGTAATACAGATAAGCATAATATAAAACATTAAATATGGGTTTGGGTATGTTAATTTTGTTTCCTTTATTTTATTTATAGATTGAAAATATATTTTTTAGAAAAATTGTAATATTATTGACTTATAGATCATAATTTGAAAATCACTTATTAATTTAATAATATATAACACAATAAATCATTATATACAGGATGTAATATGAATACCTGACAAATCAAATAATTGTTGTTCTGGTCACTATTTTTTAATTTTTTTAAATTTACAGACGCTTGCGTTACACGTATTATAAAGGAACGATTTTTATTTTTATTTTCAATACTAACAATAAAAATGTTTAAATCTGATTTACATTTCAATGAAAAATTCAAAAAGTCAAATTGAAAATTTGTTTTTTAAAATAAGGTTGACAGTAAAAACATTTATTTAAAGCAGTTTATTTTTACAGTATTTTGAAATTTTATTAATTTTGTTAAATAAAGTTGATCTAGTGGAAAGAAAAACATTTTAAATTTAAAAAGTATAAACTTTAAAAAAAAGTTGTAAGTTAAAATCTAAATAAATTTTAAAAAATTTTTTACTTAACAAAATAATGAGTTACTTAAAAAATAAAATTAAAAAAAATAAATCCGTTGGCTTAGATAAATGTTTTTACCATAATAAGGTTACTAAAAGCCAAATTTACAAATAAGCAGTTTTGAAGTTTTCAAAAAACATTTAAATCAGATTTAAATTTTTTATTTTCAGTATTATAAAATATAGATAAATTGTTAATAAATGTTATACTATACGTGTAACGCAAGCTTCTGTAAATTATTTATAAAAAAAAAGATATTGAATAGAACAAAAGTTAATTAATTTGTCAGATATTTCTGTTACACTCTGTATAATGGTTTAATTTATACACAATCAGCATAATACCCTATGTATCTATTATCAACATTATTACAATCATATTTAAATACTAATGTGATTAAATAATCTTAATATTCTCACCGTATCCAATAAATCAATGACTTTGGAGATGAAAAAGTACCACGAACCTTTATTCAACTGAAAAATGAAAATACGACATGAACACATAATGCGCTATATTATTCACTAGATCTAGACCAATATTCGACCAATATTTATGTACATTAGCACTCATATTATTATACTATTATATCAAACTTAATATTATAATTTGATTTTTAATTAAATATACCTACAAAAATATAAACATCATGACAACATACTGGAAATTAACGCAATCAAAAACTGTGCCTGAACCTTGATCGTCTAATCATGGAAATTAAGTTATTGTACACATACTGAGTATAAGGAACACCAAAAAGCCATATTTTGAGAAGAGGGACACTAGATTTTACCAAACATGTGGCGAACCTTAGTTAGACACTTTCGTGAAAGAGATTCATCGATTCCACCAGATCTTTTTATAGGTACTAGTGGAAGAGTTACAATAATGATTTGGTCAATATCAATTCTATAATGCATATTAAGTAGTTATATTTGAGTAATTATGAGATTATCTTGAACAAAAAATCTAACCTACATTTGATATTCCATCATAAGTTTCCACTTGAATGCAATATAATATATGGAAATTATTAATATTACCACATGTAATGTTGGTTAATGCATTAGTTAGTTAACGAGTCAAATGTAAATGTAATTTTAATAAGGGTAAGAAGAAAATCATATGATTTTAGGTAAGCATTGATAGCTGGCTGAATCGATAGATCATAGATGATTTTTAGACTATACCTAAGCTAGAGTCGATATTGGAAAAATCAAATTTATTCTTAAGCATTGCCGATATCATGCTAAACAAACCTAAAAATTACGGAGAGCAATGATGAGAGTGATGGTCTGAATCCACAATAAAAGAACCCTAAGAAAATTATTTTCTTTCAAAAAAAAATTAACATGAACAACTTTTTTTAGACTCTACCCCGAGTAGGTATACTCTTTGATATCATTAATGAATGTTTGTTTTTGTGATATAATAACTTTAGGACTTGAAGCTGGAAAATGAATTTAAAAATATATATATATATATATTTAAATTTAACGTTTATGAAATATTATAATAGTATAATTTATTATATTTATTATTAACACCAAATGATGTATAGAAAAATTATAATATTTTTATTAAATATCAAGAGATAAATTCGAAATCATGATGATATGAGTAAAAACGTAATAAAACTTACTTAAGTCCTTATTCCTTATTATTGACCTACTTTAGATTTACATATAACTTTGTACATACATTAGTCAGGTTAAAATTGTGTACCTACCATGTATTTATTATAGTTAGTATAAAATACTATAATTTAATTAAATAATGTTATAATTTTAAATTTGGTAGTGGTGAATCGCTTGCATGACGTTAATAATATATTATTATCTTTAATTATTATAACTTATGTGAATATGCGATAATTGTAAATATTTGTATATAAACACTTATTTAGTGTTTTAATAAAATGCATATTATGGCTACAACTGATCACAGACTAAAATATTTAGCAGCTTTACAATACTATAATTACCTCATATAATAAGAATGTATTTTTGCTTCTTTCAATTGGATGACATGAATGATTCCACATGCTTTTCAATCCTCCTGGTGTAAAAAATAACTAAAAAAAAACACACACAGTATAATACTACATTTTATTTATTAGATATTGTTTTTAAGTAAAATAGTTCAAAAGTAATTTTTGTATTCTGTATAAAAAGTGAACAAATTATTTAAGATTTTAAAATATGTGGATAGTGAAAAGAATATTCCTTCCAAGGGTGTGAAGAAATTACACCATATCACATATGAGAGGTTGAGGTTTGCATTAAAGTAGCTAGGTATGAATTTATTACCATAAAAATTAAGTGGGGAGTATCACATTTTTCTAAATAGTATTTTTGTTTCTTAATACTTTAATGTTTTAAGATTTAAAATTAATATGTCCATGTATCGATTATTTACAAAAAACGTGTATTGTCACTCTCAGGATAACTTTATACATTTCATGATTTTAATCTGAATTGACTCTTTAGGTAATTTCTAATCTTTGTCAATAAATAGAACATTTTTATAATCTGACCGCTCTTTTATAAATTGAGCTCCATGTTTTTGAATTTCGTTATAATTTTGTAAATATGTATTTTTTTACAGTTGATGAAATATAATAAAACCTTTTTTCAACTATTAGAAAGTGGTAATTGATAACTGTGATATACACGAATTGCAAAGAATTTATTGAATTTTTCAAATTAAACTTAATTTTGAACTATAAATTAATTTTATAGAGGATATGATGCGCTACAAAATGTATACAAGACATCCAAAATCAATCACAATGGTTAGTTGTTGAACTCATAAATGCAAGACAATATTACACAATTATACACAATTATACAGAGGTTATATGCTTATATGTTAAACCTTATCAAATATTATAGTTAAGTAATGTATTTAAAATATTTAACTTACCAAATACAGTATAAATGCATTATAAGCTGTTTGAAAAAGATTGTAAGCTAACATTATGTGTTTGAGTCGGAATGGTTCACGGTTCTTCATCATATTTGGACCAATTTTTAAAATGAACAATAAATAAACTGCTACAATAGAAAAAACTGGCAATGGTGATCGCATTAAAAACCACGAATCAACCACATCGTCTATAAATAATAATAATTGTTAATGTATTTGAATGCACAATTGATATACAACTAAATGTAATATGTTATTTGAATACCTATTAAGGGATGGTTTATATAAAAATAAAAATAAAATAACTTGTATGAAAATACTAATACACCTAGATCCATAAACTATGAAAATAAGGAGTTGAACCAGTTAAGTATTTTAGGTAATCATTTTCAGTCCAAAACAGTGATATCATCCTTCAAGTATAATATATATTATATTAAATGATCTATCAAAGTAAAAATGTATTATTTAAAAAATGTTAAATGTTTTTGAAAACATCTTAATTGTCTTAAGTCTTACTTTTTTGAATGATATAATACATTTTTAATTTTATAGTACAAAGTTGAGCATTTTTCAGAGTATTTCGTTACATAAAAATCAAACTTTGAACGAGTGAGGAGTTATTTCGTTATTATGAGTATTTAAAGTTCTGATGTGTGAAATAGTGAAAAGACATTTTGCAGGGTACCTACCACTGTGTAACTCTATTCCGCTTACGTAAGCTTTAAATACGTATAGTTAATTAATTACTTATTCGAAATATAGTTTTGATGTATCAATTAATATTTCTAAAAATATTTTGCTTAAAAATAAAAGTGGCAAAGTAAAACTTATACGATGACAATTTATTAGAAACAAACATGATATATTATGAATAATATTTTCAAAAAAAGAAGAAACTTTTCAAAATTATGATTATAGACACTTAAATAAAGTAGAAAGAATGCTTTAGGTATTTAATAAGATATGTAATGAACCATAGTTTGATTCAGAATAAAGAGATCTATGAACCCCCGAACTCTATTGGCTATAATATTAAAGCTTTGTACTAAATTCACATTATTGATCATTAGAAAACTTCAAATCAAAACAATCAATACAATATATAATATACACGGCGATAAAAATGTGAGCCGTTATACTTACCGAATACTAATTCTTTTTCCAATGTGTTGAAAAATTGATTTTTGGCTTCCGCGATGAAGTGGATGTTAGTTAAGTTTGCCATGATTGTTGTTGCTAGAAAAAGAAATCGAGACAGTTAATGTTGAATGCAATTGATATCAAGACTTTTAGTTATTTTTGTCCAATATTTTTGGAAAAACGAATTCAAAATAGCTATACACTTATATAAAATATATTAAATTTATAATGCATTTGATGGTTGTTTAATATTGTTATCCTTGAATATGTTTGTAAAACACTTTCAATGTCAGATGTAGTACATAATGTACCTACTGCCATCAAAACTGGTTGGCTCCAAAAGCCTGTCAATGGTATGAACTACCCGTTGCAGAAACAGGTAACTGAAGTAAGGTCGATACGAGAAACGAATGCCCTTGTTTTTTGTATTCAAACAAGTAATTTTATAGTCAAGAGAAATTATTACTTTATCATTGCATAATATAATATGTAGTCTTATATTATTACGATTAACACTATACTATTAATACTGAATTTATAGTTAAAAATCAAAAATTATCTTCGTTGACATTATTAATAATGGCATTATATAATGTCGTGTGGGTTGTCGTAAAGGATGTGTTAAATTTGAACTCAATGATAACATAAAATCATTGTATACGAAAAACGTTTCTGAGTGAAGACGGTCTGTCAGCCTATATTACTTATTATATTGTATAATATAATTGATATTATAATTTATTTTACTTTTAGTAATACAGTAGGCTAAATGCATTTTTAACTAAAACAATGCATTCAACAATTACATTGAGTGTATAAAATAAAATAATATAGGTATTTGAAAAGTTGCAAGTACCCCAGAAATAATGTTTTTAAATTTTACTATGGCAAATGTATACTATATTGACCACCCAAAATACCAATTTAACTCTTTATAAGTTTTATATCCGAGTATTTTTCCACTTTATAAAGTGTCTTATAAAACACTTACACATACCGTTAAAAACCCGACAGCTCAGAAAGGTATTTATATAAGTATTACATATAAATAACTTTTAAAATCAATCAATAACGAATTTGGGCTTGTACATAATTACAAATATTTATAAAGTATGCATAACATTTTATATATGTGGTCAGTTCATATAAATAAAAATTATTAATCATGATAAAACAAATAAAACAAATACGAAGCTATCTTAGAGAGAAAAATATGCTCGTAGACAACTATATTTCAATTATTGTTCACTCACTCGGGTTTGATGTCACGTCGATGTCAATAGATGGATTTCAATCCGTTTGCCATCCGTCAATGGATACTACGCTATAGATTTAACAAATTTTAAAGGTATTGTGGATCACAACCTATTGATAAGAGCGGTTAACGAAGAACTGAATATATATGATTAATCCAGACATGATCACATTCATTTTAAATTCACTGGTATAATCTCAGATACCTTGTGACTGAAACCAGGTTTGGGGATTCGAGGTGAACAGCACAGCAAAGGTGGGTTTTTATTTGCCGGTAGGAACAGTAAACCGGAAAACATTAACATTTACGTGTAAACAAATACTTGCACGCGAATCCTTGACAAAAAGCTGAACTGGCTAAAATTATAAAATATTATACATATACTGTATATTATTACTGTACAGTTTGTTAATTAATTGTAAAGTGATTAGTTTTAATTCGAAATATAATGCAAATAATATTGTAGTGCTGTTTTTTTTTTCATTGTAATTGGTGGCCTCTTTTTTTATCATGGTTTCAAAAACAGTTTTTAAAAAAGTTTAAATTTTTTTCTACGACGGACTTCCAAAATATTTCCGGTAAATTGATAAAAAATATAATTTTAAACGGGTTTTCTTCAAATATTTAATAAATATTTTAGATATACAATGTAATTTTTTAAGCATGCTTATCGCTTCTTTCCTTAAATAGAAAATTTATTAAAATTTTGATTTTTGAATTTTTAAGTAAACCTTAAGACCATATTTTCAAATTTCTGATAATTTTGCACTATTTAAGGAGTATTCTGTGGGGCGACACAAACTTCTATTTTTTCAAATGAGAATCACCTTTTTTACTGAAAATTATTTGGTGGATGATTTTTTTGAAAATGTTGATGTATCTAAATCAAAATTTGAATGAGTAGTTTCTGAGTTATTAAGATGCTATAATCCTTAAAAATGGTTTTATAAAAATAAAACTATATGTGATGTTAGATATAGTATTTATTATACTTTTATCATTTTTAGAAATTATTTATATTGATAAATAAATAGTAGTTGCTAACTTTTTCAAATAGTCTAAGCCTCCTATTCATCAACCCAACATTATCATAGACATATTATTATCCGTAAAACATAAAGTCACATAACTCAAAAACTACTGTCTTGAGTTATGATTTATATAGATAAAAATTCTCAAAAAAATATCTGCTTAATAATTAAGAATGAAAAAGGGGGTTCTTATTTGAAAAACTGAAGTTTTTATTGTTACCCGATTATTCTTAAATGGTACAAGCAATTTGAATGACTTGAAAAATAGTCTCCAAGTGTATTTTAAAATTTTGAAATAACAAAAATCTGAACTTTTATAAATGCATAATTTAAGCACACAAATAGGATGGATACGCACGCTTAAAATATCATCTTTTATATCATAGTATATTTACGATTATTGAAACTACAAAAAATATGGTTAATATAAAATACCACCTGGAAAAAGTATCCAACCAATCATGGGTATAGATCATCATGGAACTATTTGAATACTATATATACCAGTAAACAGAAATTTGTATATATTGGACTATCAGCTTCTATATCTATACTATTATATGAAATTCCTTGTATGCATGTTTGTTCAGACTTATAAAACAAGTACTTATACAAAACTATGTACAAATCTATTTTTTTATAAAGGTTTTATATATTATAATATGTATAATATATTATAGGTTTTGAATAATTATTTTTACAAACCATTATTCAACAAAAGATCTACTTACCGTTCACATTGGTGATTCAATTTGAAATATTTTACGTAACAAAACTGCACACGGACAAATCCGGGTAATACAACTAGTAATATTATATAATAATTAATAACTTACTAGTTATTACTTATTAAAATCAACCAAATATATCTTATTTTATTAAAGATTTATAAGCCATGTCGACTATACCTTAACATTTCATATTCATCAACATTTTAGTTGGTACATTTTGTTAAAATTATTTTAGATATATTAATGTTTTTGAGCAACATAGCCTTGTATGGATAATATTGTTATTGACGAGATTAGTTTATGTTAGTTTAATCTTATTCATAACATATTCAACGTTTCCAAAAGCTTCAAAATTAATTTTGGATGTTACTGAAGAATTGAACAACTATTGGGTAGTAACGATATCATAATAAAATAAATTAACCCAAGATAAAATATATACATTTTCAAAGTTATACTATATTTATGTTGAAGATAATGAGATTAAAACCACATCATTATTTTGACAATATCAACTTGTTGAGAATGATAAAATTATCAAGTCAACTAAAATTTAAGATGAGAGAAAAATTGTTTTAGTATTGTTTTCAATTCTTATTCAATTTTTTAGAAGTTGAAACTTTTGAAATTCCCCCATAATCTTTTACATACACAAAAATAATTCTATATGCCTTTAAATATTATACAACTATAAAATCACTGAAATAACTTCCTTTTAGTATCTTGTGTGTTTGTTGCGCGACACGTTCAATATTGGGCGTAATAATGAATATGTGATTAAATAATAATTTAAAACCGTTAAAATTATTTGTAAAATGTAGTATCTTACGATTAACTTTGCCAAAATGTTCTTCTCGTACTTTTAGAATATATATGAATTATATATAATCTTAAGGATATAAATGTTCATGCCGTCGGTATGATAAACAGGCATAACTTAAGTTTGCCTCTGAAATTATCGAGAAATGCACACGCAGATAAAATTGTCTAACATAAACACTGTGCACGTTGATGCATATTATGCTGTACACAATATTTCAATTTTGTGCATAGGTACGCACCACAGCAGTTGACATTTTCGCAGAAGTTATCGACGCGTTCTAAGTGTTAACTTAAACAATGTTCATTGAACTACATCAAATACCAGTTTTTAGTGTACCTACTGGAGTACTGGATATGTAAGGAGTAAAATAGTATATATTTGTGTGTAAATGTGCAATATACCTATAAGGTGCCTATAAAATGTATGTAAGTGTACTATTTATACTTATTTCATATCATTTTACTTATGAGCTGGAATACTAAATACTAAATAATAATATTAATTAATAATGCTAATATTTTCTACTCATCTCTTACTTCAGTAAAATAAGTTTAAAATGGTTGCCTAATTTAATTATGTAGCTGTAATTGTATTTCAGTTTTTTGCGTTGTATAAAAAAAAAATGGTAATTGACAGGTACATGGGAAGTTAGTTCAAAATTCTAATTGAGCATTTTTTATAGATATTTAAAACAATGAAAAAGCACTCCCTTTTTGGGGCGAAAAAAGGGTTATTTGATTAAGTGTTGGCGTTCAAGAAAGTATTGTTTTGGAATTAGTTGCTAAAGTTAAATTTCACAAATGTGTAAATTATTTTTTGAGAAAGTCGTCTGTAATTGTATTCATAAGGTTATGAAGTAGTACCATAGTATAATACTTTATTTACAATACTGACACATGGATATTTTGTGGCAAAAGGTGACCCACCAATATGCCTATCATGCCAATTATGCTGCACCTATACACGACCACCCAACACATTTTCGAGGAATATAGAAAGTACGAAAATCAAAGAGAGTAACTCAACATAAGCCAATTGGAACATGTCTAGGTCTAACTACTGAGAATGAAATCAACACAATAGAGTACTTTAAAACAATCAAAATACTAAATTTAATATAGCCAAAAATGTATTGCAATGTTATACCTACATAAATATCTAAATATTTAATTTAAAACTGTATTTTTTTCTTCTTTTTATATATTTTATTCAGTGTATATACAATTGTAATGGCAATGACCTTAGTAGTTGAAGCAAAAATTATTATAATTTCAAGACCAATAAAAAAAAAAATACTTTTATTTATACAACAAAAAACACTTAATAATTTATTCGTCTTCTCCAAAAATAATAATATGAACACTTAATAAATCCCAACAAGAATTTTTATTTATTTTCTCACGATTTTTCTTAGTAGTTATTTAGATAATTTTTAAAGAATTGCTCTTAAAATAATATTGAAATTTTGAAATTTTAAAAATAAGGACCACCCTATTACATACATATTTATTTAAAAATAATATTTAGTATTTTACGAATATCACATTGAATTACCTATGTTATATTTATTTGTAATTTTATTTTTATGTGTCAGTTAGTTACTATTTATGTTAGGAAGTAACCTATTTATACTTATTGCAATTCCTTATATTTTTTTTCACATTTATATTTTTATATTTAATTATACATTTTTAGTGTTTGTTAAGAATGTTATTATTATATAAACGTTATTCTCATCTTGTGGACACGGAGAACAGTTTAATAGTGCTGAAGGTAAAGGTGAGCATTCCTTACGGTTGTCTCATACTTTGGGCATTCTATTTGGATATGTTTATAATAATTATTGTGAGTTGAAATCCTTACAATTCCTACAAATAAATTGGTGTTTTTAAACCTTAAACATTACCTATGTGTGAAAAGTACAGTAACGATCGTGTTTACCTAAATATACAGTTTAAACGATTAAACGAACGTTGTAATGCCGTACCGATCGGGTGAAAAATCCGGTGACTATTCCTTAGTCAAATTTTATTTCGGTTTCTTCTTTTCAATTCATTTTATTCGTGTAAGATTTCTCAATTTTGTTTTGTTTTTTTTATTAATATCAACGAATTAAGACATTTTTTAAATTTTTCTTTAGATTGCAATTTAATCAAATGCGTTGTGTCTAAATACATTTTTATTTTTTATTTTTTCCTTGAGCAATTCTAGTTTTGTATATATAGCATATTCAAAAGGTAGGATCATTTTCTTTTGAATGTGAATAACGCATTAATGTTATATGAGATTTTCTCCATAATTTTTTTTTGATTTTTTTCTTTTGACTTTATCCAATTTAGTATTCTATATTGTTTTATTATTTTTTAATATAAAATCGTATTTCCCTCCCGTCGTTATTAAAACAATATCAACTTTTGATTTTCATATGGCGGCCTAAAATTTAAATTTTAAATGTTCAGAGATATATATTTCTGAAAATGTTGGTATAAATAAATCTAATGCCGGGCTAACGGCTTATTAATTATAATAACTTAAAGTTTAGACTACAGGAATGGAGAGGAATGTATATTCAATGTACATATTTAGA